CCAAAAGGGGCCACCTGATCCTAAATGGGAACTTCTGCTTTTGTTTTTTATTTACAAAGGGGTCCTATTTCCTTTTTTTTCATCACACAGCTTTTGGGGAAACAGGCAGGATAAAGCAGTGTAAATGAATTTTTAAATGGTAAGGAACAGAGTGCAAGGCTTATACAAGAAACAAACGCAAAAGGGACTATTGCTCAAAATCGAAAATACAAGAACCCCCAGAAACTCTAGCAACAAAATTAAAAACGCTGGGGTTTTAAAACCAGAACCCCTTTAGCTACGTCCCAATAATTCAAAAAATCCGTAGCAAGGGATGCTATGAAACAAATTAAGTGCAAATTTTTTCAATTCATCCTAAAAAACTGTTTGCATTAACATTAGGGAAGTTTAAAATGCTGGTTGCTTCCCAAAACCTTTAAAAACCCCGACTCCCCTTAAGTTCAAACTTTCCACAGTAATGAAAGTGTCCCCCCCAAACAATTGTCAAATACTAGGTGTAAACTTATGTTTTGTGCAAGTCAAAATAACATCCGAACCACAAACATCCTAGCCAGATTCCTAAAAGAAAGTTTCTTTGAATTGCCAGCCCCCCCATGCCACAAATAAATTTGTCCATCACCATCAATCCGTGCCGGAGGGATTCCCGGGAGGGCCCCGAGTTTTCCCCAATCTTGTACAAAAAAGAAATTTTGACGTCTTGAAAAATATAAGGGCCAAATTTTTTTTATTTTTAAAGTAAATTTTAGAATTCTAGAGTAAAGCATCCCTTTAAAATAATAATAATAATAAAATAAAAAAAATAATAATAATAATAATAAAAATAAAATAATAAAAATCAAAAAATTATTTGACAAGGGAAAATGGTGACAGAGGAAAAGAATAGTTGGGGTGCCCTGGGCCCGAAGCCCCTGTATGCCAAAAGAAATTTTGGCAAACATTCTCCATAGTTACCAGTCAGGTTTCAGGATATCTTACCTGACCGACACGTCCCTAATTAATCCGATGGACTACCTAAGAACTCAAATGTCGTTAGGGAATCTTATATGTCCAAAGATGACCTTAGACTTGCGAAAATCCTTCGACACGGTCAACCATAATATGTAAGACACTACAAGCTATCGGCCTAGGTTTTTTTTTTTTTTTTTTTTTTACACAGGGTTTGACAAGGTTAAGGATCCCTAGCTTTATTGACAAGCTATTTACAGGTTAAGGATTCCTAACTTTATTGGTAAGCTAAGAGCTGTTACCTACATCAGCTCATTTGAAAGCATTTTTATTGTTATGAGACATACAAGTAGGGAACAGGATGAAGTTGGAGCCATCTGTGGGCCAGCATTTTCATTTGATCAACTGACTTTATCTCGTTGACATCATTATGCTGTACGAATGTGTTCCATACTCGAGTCATCCTGGGTTCTGTACACTGGTTTAAATCTTACCTAAACAAAAGGAAACAAATGATAAAAATCAACAATACAGAACCAGAACCCCTGCCGATAGCATGTGGGATTATCCAAGGTAGTGTGCTGGGTCCCTTACTTTTCCTGTATTATGTAGATGATATGCCCATCAGTGTCAGGCGTCAGCTTGTGCTGTATGCAGATAACAATGCTCTGCAGCAAATGGTTAGTAGACAAATTATCGCTGCACCTCTAGGAAACAAAAGCCACACTCTTTGGCATGAAAAGGATACTTGACTCAAGCATGTCAGAATTTATATAAATCAATACAATAAATAAAAAGGGGGAATGCTAGGCTAAAATTCATCTATAGACAGGCACAGTATCAACTTACTGAGGATCTCAGGACCCTATGTCTAGCCCTTATACAATGTCTTATAGATTACTCTTGCTCTTCATGGTACTCTGCTTTAGCAAAAAAATTGAAATACATACAAATCCCCCAAAACAAAACGGTGAGTCATCCTGGACCTGGGTCCAAGAGAGCATATAGGCCAGGATGAATTACAATGTTGAAGACAGAGTAAACCAAATGAGGTTTAAATCACGTTTATAAAATTAATTACAAGCAGTGTCCAGAATATCTTGTTGCCAATTTTGCCAAGGTTGGGAACCAAAACCAGTATGGTACTAGGGGAAGGGAACACTATTTTGTAGTACCCACAGTAGGTGGTCAGGCTTCAAACACTTTTTATTGTACAGCAATAAAGGAGTGGAACAGACTGCTCTTTACCAGGAGAATGTTGTTCTTCGAATGTTGTTCTAGGATGAGCCAGTTCAGGAAGAAAGCTAAAAAGCACCTAATTCAAATTCAATTCAAATTCAAAGTTTATTCTCTATAAGGATTACAATGCTGAGTTTACAGAAATTTGGTTATTGTTTGGTTTACATGTAGTAAAATTGTGATTACAGAGTGTACCACTAGAACGCTTAGCATGGCTAGGCATTTCGGGCATACTTAGTTTTATTCTTAATTGTAAAATATTACAAATTATGAGGTAAGTTGGTATTATGGCTAAGTGACTAAATACTAGTTTATGAGTTTAGCAATGTGAATGCTTTTGTTTTGGCACAGTATATAGTTTCAGTATTGGAGTATCACAGGGTTCATTATTTTAAAATTGAGATTAATATTTCTGTTTATGGTCAAATGAGTGAGCGAGTGTAAGTGTGAACCACCAGGTGGTATTTGTGTAGTTAGTTGACGGGGTGTATCAGGGAGATAAGATGTTTTCTAATGGTAGTTTTGAAGGTGATGAATGTGTCTGCAGTTCTAGAGTTCTCAGGTAGGGTATTCTAGATTTTAGGGCCTTTGACATACATTGAATTTTTGTAAAGGTTTAGTCGGACACGGGGAATGTCGTAGAGATGTTTGTGTCTGGTGTTATGCCTGTGGGTTCTGTCACAACTATCAAGAAAGCGTTTTAGGTCAGGTTGATATTAGAGTTTAAGGCCCTGTAGATATAGATTGCACAGTAGTAAGTGTGGATGTACTGAACAGGGAGTAAGTTTAGATCTTTGAAGAGTGGGGGGGTGTGCTGCCAGGGATGGGATTTAGTGATTATTCTTACTGAAGCTTTTTGTTGGGTTATTATTGGCTTTAGGTGTGTTGCTGCAGTTGATCCCCAAGCACAAATAGCATAGGTGAGGTATGGATAAATAAGTGAGTGGTATAGTGTGAGAAGGGCATTTTGCGGCACGTAGTATCGTATCTTGGAGAGGATCCCAACCGTTTTGGATACTTTTTTGGCTATATGCTGGATATGGGTGCTGAAATTCAGGTTGTTGTCAAGGTATAAGCCTAGGAATTTTCCCCCATTATTTCTGGTAATTAGAGTGTTGTCAATCTTAATGTTAATTTGTGCATCTCCTGCTCTGCTACCAAACATAATATAGTAAGTTTTGTCAGTGTTAAGCGTAAGTTTATTGGCTGTCATCCAAGTCGATATTTTAATCAGCTCCTCATTCACATGGTGTTGAGGGTGGCAAGATTAGGGTGAGAGATGACATAAGTCGTGTCATCAGCAAAGAGAATGGGTTTCAGGTGTTGGGATACGTTTGGAAGGTCATTGATGTATATGAGGAAGAGCAGGGGACCAAGGACACTTCCCTGCGGAACTCCAGTATCAAGTGGCCGTGTTGCTGATGCTGTCTCTTTAATGGTGACGTACTGATACCTATTAGTAATGTAAGATTTGAAATAAGCAAGCACATGGCCTCTTATACCGTAGTGGTCAAGTTTGTGGAGTAGGATTTCGTGGTTTACTGTGTCAAAAGCTTTTCTTAGGTCAATAAAAATTCCTAGTGGATATTCCTTATTTTCCAATGCTGTGTAAAGCAGATCTAGCATTTTTATGATTGCATCATTAGTGCTTTTATTTTTCCTGAATCCAAACTGGCAGGGGTTGAGTATGTTTTGAGCCGTTATAAATGAATACAGTCTCTTGTACACGAGTTTCTCAAAGATTTTGGATAGCAATGGTAAGTTAGATATTGGCCTATAGTTGTTTAAGTCTGTAGGGTCACCACCTTTATGTATTGGTGTAACCCTTGCCATCTTGAGTAGTTTCGGGAAGGTGCTAGTCTCTATTGACTTGTTAAAAAGTAATGAAATAGCATGCGAAAGGACATGGGCCGCTCGCTTGTACAGTAATGGTGGGACATGAGACAGATTCCCCGAGTTATTTTTAAGTGACTTTATGATCTCAATGACTTCCGTGGGCTCAGTTGGTGCAAGATAGAAGGAATTAGGGAAATTTCCATCTAGGTAGTCCCCGGCATGGGCATTGGTATGTGGGATTTTACTGGCGAGATTAGATCCTATGTTTGAGAAGAAGTCGTTTATCTTGTTAGCTGTGTCAGTGGGATGTAGTGGTGTTTCATTAGGTTTAGTTAGGACAATATTCTTGGTTTTTCTCAGTTTGTGGGTCCCTAGAATCTGAGAGAGTGTTTTCCAGGTCTTTTTTATATCTCCTCTAGTGTCTGTGAATCTACTGGAGTAGTATAGTTGTTTGGCTTTTTTTTATTACTTTGGTGAGAGCTGATGAATGAAACTATTGAAAGGGACGATAGTGATTTCTTGTATAGCTAACATTCATGTACTGTCTGACTTTTTTGGGTTATCCCAGGTTCTCTACACATATGCTGCTATGTATGATAATTCTATGTAACTGTATTTGTGTATACCTGAATAAACTTACTTACTTAAGCTGATCCTCTCTTTGATGCTTATGTAAATAATTTATTTTAACTTATTCCCGTTGCCAGCAGGCCACGGTGCCCCGTGGCCTGCTGGCAAAAGTTCTCGCTTTACATGGTGAGGGTCCGGGTTCGATTCCCTGCGAAGAGGTGGAAACATTGGACGTGTTTCCTTAAACTGATTGTCCAAGTTCACCCATCAGTAAAATGGGTACCTGGGTATTAGTGGACTCGTGTGGGTCGCATCTTGGGACAAAACTGACCTAATTTGCGGGAAGTGCTCAGCATAACAAGGGGCTTTTTATATAGTAGTATGTCATTGATGTTAGCTATGGTCTGTATACCTTATATATGTACTTGTGGAAATAAATATATTGTATATCATCATGAAGCAGGGTTCGATACAACGCAAGCTGTCAGTGGGCCTTACTAACCCAACAAGAAGATAGCAACATCAGGGCTGGTCTTCATGGTGAGTGGACGTTTCAATCTCCTCTCATCATCAGTAGCAGATTTCGGCCAATGTTTTTTTTTGGGTACTTTCCCTTTCTGCTTGCCGGCGACATATTACTTGAGAAGCCAATTAGCTCCTGCTTCTGTGCTGCTGATTTTGTACGGGATTTTTAAATAGCCGGCCGTTGACTCAGGTCGTGTGTGTCTGGCTCTACCCAGGTTTAGGCTGCCAGTTCCAACTTTCACCTTCGAAAACATATTTTCAGTTTTCAGTTTCCGTACAGACATGGTCAGGTTTTATCTCTCATCATTATGATAGGGAAGAGCTCAATGTAGTTTAGAATATGGAAACCCCCTAACCGCAACACCAATTGTCACCACTTCATTAATAATTAATTTGGTTCAGTCAAAGAAGGTTACTTGATGCTGGTAAAGGGCTCTTGATCCAAGGAATTAGGTACACAATTTTTTCATCCTGAAGGGGCGTTCCTTGACGCCTGTGCCCCCTCAAGAAATATTCCTTGAAGATAGTGAAGAAGGGCTCTTGGTCTAAGGAATTAGACCTGTGATTTAATTCCCTGAATCGAGACTTAAATGCCTTCCACTACCCCAGGGGCTGTTATGACTCATACGGGTTTAGCGCTCATTTTGAATGTTATAATATTTGACCCCAGTGAGCGGTTTTTGATTCAAGAAATTGGACCCGACCTCCCATTCCTTGGATCGAACCTTTTTGCCTAATTCCCTCGAGTGTATGTATATATGTATGTATACTCACCTATATGTGGTTGCAAGGGTCGAGTCACAGCTCCTGTATGTATGTATGTATGTATGTATGTATGTATGTATGTATGTATGTATGTATGTATGTATGTATGTATGTATATATGTATATATGTATATATGTATATATGTTATATGTATATATGTATATATGTATATATATATATATATATTTATATTATATATATATATATATATATATATATATATATATTATATATATATATATATATATATATATATATATATATATATTATATATATTTATATATATATATATATATATATATATATATATATATATATATATATATATATATATATATATATATATATATATATATATATATATATATTATATATATATATTAAATTTTATTAACACTGGCCGATTCCCACCAAGGCAGGGTGGCCCGAAAAAGAAAAACTTTCATCATCATTCATGCCATCACTCTTGCCAAAAGGGGTTTACTTGGAGTATACCTGGAGAGAGTTCCGGGGGTCAATGCCCCCACAGCCCAGTCTGTGGCCAGGCCTTGTGGTGGATAAGGGCCTGATCAACCAGGCTGTTACTGCTGGCTGCACGGAATCCAATGTAAGAACCACAGCCCGGCTGGTCAGGTACCGACTTTAGGTGCTTGTCCAGTGCCTGCTTGAAGACAGCCAGGGGTCTATTGGTAATCCCCCTTATGTATGCTGGGAGGCAGTTGAATAGTCTTGGGCCTCCTGACACTTATTGTGTTGTCTCTTAATGTGCTAGTGACACCCCTGCTTTTCATTAGGGGGATGTTGCATCGTCTGCAGAGTCTTTTGCTTTCGTAGTGAGTGCTTTACACTACAGTTTATAAAACTGCAACATTAACACCCCTCCTTCAGAGTGCATGCACTGTATTTCCCATCTCCAGGACTCAAGTCCGGCCTGCCGGTTTCCCTGAATCCCTTCGTAAATGTTACCTTTCTCACACTCCCACAGCACGTCAAGTATTAAAAACCATTTGTCTCCATTCACTCCTATCAAATACTCTCGCACATCCTTGCTGGAAGTCCAAACTCCTCGCACACAAAACCTCCTTTACCCCCTCCCTCCAACCTTTCCTAGGCCGACCCCTACCCCGCCTTCCCTCCACTATGGATTTATACACTCAAAGTCATACCATTTCGTTCCATTCTCTCTACATGTCTGAACCACCTCAACAACCCTTCCTCAGCCCTCTGGACAACAGTTTTGGTAATCCCGCACCTCCTCCTAACTTCCAAACTACAAATTCTCTGCATTATATTCACACCACACATTGCCCTCAGACATAACATCTCTACTGCCTCCAGCATTCTCTTCACTGCAACATTCATCACCCATGCTTCACACCCATATAAGAGTGTTGGTAAAACTATACTCTCATACATTCCCCTCCTTGCTTCCAAGGACAAAGTTCTTTGTCTCCACAGACTCCTAAGTGCACCTCTCACCCTTTTACCCTCATCAATTCTGTGATTCACCTCATCTTTCGTAGACCCATCTGCTGACACGTCCACTCCCAAATATCTGAATACATTCACCTCCTCCATACTCTCTCCCTCCAATCTGATATCCAATCTTTCGTCACCTAATCATTTTGTTATCCTCATAATCTTACTCTTCCTTATATTCACTTTTAATTTTCTTCTTTTACATACCCTACAAAATTCATCTACCAACCTCTGCAACTTCTCTTCAAAATCTCCCAAAAGCACAGTGTCATCAGTAAAAAGCAACTGTAACACCTTCCACTTTGTGTTTGATTCTTTATCTTTTAACTCCACACCTCTTGCCAAGACCCCCGCATTCACCTCTCTTATAACCCCATCTATAAATATATTGAACAACCATGGTGACATCACACATCCTTGTCTAAGGATGTATTATTGAATGAATATATATATATATATACATGTATATATATTATATTTATTTATTTATTCAGTAACGACACTGCGATTAGCCGAGGATTCGAACCCATGTTGTTTTGGCCTGCCTCATGGTGAGCTAAAATCACACATGATGCTCTATCCCACGGAACCATGCAATCCTTCAAAGATCACACACCCATCAGAACTAGGTGTTGTACTATGATCTGAGAACATACGATGGTGTGGGTGCCTCAGAGCTTATTTCATTCTACTCCTTGTTTGGTGCACTAGCCTCCACAAGCAGTACATGTATATATATAGTACTGTAACCACAAACGAGTGGTATTAAACCAATAACACTGCGACTAGCCAGGGGATAGAACCTGTGTTGTTTTAGCCTGCCTCATGGCGAGCAAAAATGCATGACACACTAACCCACTGGACCATCCAATCGTACAAAGATCATGCACCCAGCAGAGATGTGATCAACAGTTTAAGGGTTGAAGGACACTGATTTTTTGTAGGAATACACTGACTACACTGTTTTTCAAGAGTCTTAACTTGCTTAATATACAGAACATCCACACTTATTATTGTGCCTCCTACATACACAGAACATTATACTCAAATCTAAGCTCTCCTCTCAAACTCCTCCTTGATAACTGTCACAGAACACAGCCATAATATGAGACAAATCACTCTTTGATATCCCTCGTGTCCATCTCTCCCAGTGCAAAAATGCTATGCACGTAAAGGGCCCGAAGATCTGAAATTCATTGCTAGAACACACTAAAGGACCCCTGCCTGCAAATCAGTTTAAGGCCCTACTTAGAAATGCCTCATCACCTATAATTAACCAGACAGTTACTCAAAAGCTACTCAAAAAAATTTCTAAATAATTTAACACTGCTCATTTTAAAATTGTTTCAATTTCATTACTGCATATTGTGCTGAGAATTGCTCAACCATTTATTCATTACTTCAATATTAGGATGTTTAATTTTCATTATTTTAAATAGTACTATATTGTAATACATCATGTTGTAAATTGTTTTAAATTGTTCTATTGTAATATTGTAATACTGTAATTATTCTCTACTGAACTTCTCTACTAGACTTATGAAAGCCATATAGCATTATGTAATAATACTCAATTCTCTTGTATTCACCATATGAACTGTTATTGCCTTACTAATCTTAAGTTATATTAAGTTTGCCCAAAATGCTCTGAATACAAAGGGGCTGTTGGCATGTACACCCAACTATTATATTCCTTTGTACAACCATGTATCATGTCAAAATAAAATTATTATTATTATTATTATTATTATTATTATTATTATTATTATTATTATTATTATTATGACTCCACTTATTATAACAACTCTTCATCTCGCTTGACCTCACCAAACTCCAACTTGCTTAATATGTACCATTCCCTAAACCTATGTTTTCTCAAGCCTCATGTATGGAGTGAACAAGGTCCTAGGTTAGAAATATTTTTAAAATAAAATGTCTAAGTGTTTGCTCATGTGTCTTGAACAGCTATGCATAGATGAGCATCTTGAATTACCAGGATTAGACACACATCTTGAACTACAATAGTGTACAGACACATGAACTAATGACACATGAGTTAATATCTTTATTTCTACAAGTACATGTAAAAGGTATACAGGCCTAGCTGACATCAGTGACATACCACCATATAGAAAGCCACTTGTTATGCAGAGCATTTCAGGCAAATTAGGTCAATTTTGTCCCAGGATGTGACCCACACCAGTCAACTAACACTGAGATGCCCATTTACTGATGGGTGAACATGGACAGCAGGTGTCCAAATGTTTTCCAGATGTACAGTGGTACCTTGGGATACGAACTTCATTCGTTCCAGAAGGCTGTTCCCATAAGGAATAATGTAAATTAGGCTAATCCATTTCAGACCCCCAAAAATACACTTACAAAAGCACTTACATAAATACACTTACATAATTGTTCGAGTTTTGAGCTGTTTGTATCCCAAGGTACCAGTGTACCAGGAATTCAATCTCTGGACCTGAGTGTGTGAGCTGAGTGCGCTAGCGATCGAACTATGGGACACTATTTTATTTTTTATTAAGAATACACTGTTTTAATTCATTGTTTCACTTTACAGAGCATGTGGAATTTTTTGGAGACCACACTGTTCTGAAATATATTCAGTATTGAGGTACACCAATCTGGTCTCAATATGCAACCTCAAACTCTTCAGGAACTGTGAGTAGTAAAAAGTTTAATACATGTAGTATATATGTTTTAACAGGTTATTTTCATTTTATTGATTTTTTTTTTCATTACTGTGTATGTATTATAGCACTACGTATTTTAGGTCCTGAATGAAAAACTTACATATACCATGTTCAGATATTATTTAAAATACATTAATGCATCATTGCATTTGTAACCGATGTAATGAATGTGGGTAAATAAATAAAATTTTCATTTTCCTTTAAGATAAATAATTTTTGATATTTTGCAGTGGGGGTAAAGGAAGTTTTGTGCAAGGGGCTTACACTTCCAGCAAGCATGAACATGTTAGAAAGGAGCAAGTGGAGACAAATGGTTTTTATGATGACATGCTGTTGGAGTGTGAGCAAAGTAACATTTATGAAGGGATTCAGGGAAACTGGCAAACTGGACTTGAGTCTTGGCGGTGGGAAGTACAGTGCCTGTACTCTGAAGGAGGGGTGTTGATATGTTGCAGTTTTTTAATTGTAGTGTAGGCGTGCCTCTGGCAAGACAGTGATGGAGTGAGTGATGATGAAATTGTTTCTTCTTTACCAGGTCACCCTGCTTTGGTGGGAAATGGCCAATGTATTAATGAAAATAAATAAAAATAGTATTTTGCAGTGGTATTTTTTTATATGCAAAGGCCTCTAGTTATGTAATGTATTTTGGGCAATTAAAACTATAATTAAAATTACTTGATGATTAACTCAAGATAGTTTTTATGAATACTGAGATTAATATACAGTAGAGCCCCACTTTACGGCGTTTTGCTATTACGGACATTTCAAATTATGACCAAAACCCACTACACGGCTCCTCCCACCTGATTCTGACTCTGATATAGTCACCATGTGCCACCTGGTTTATTTACATTCTCTGTTAGCTCCATGTCTCTCCATTATGTCTGAAAACTTTACAGAATTTCAAGTGTTTTAAAGTTATTGTATACAGTGGACCCCCGGTTTACGATCAGCTCCCAATGCGACCAATTATGTAAGTGTATTTATGTAAGTGCGTTTGTATGTGTATGTTTGGGGGTCTGAAATGGACTAATCTAATTCACAATATTCCTTATGGAAACAAATTCGGTCAGTACTGGCACCTGAACATACTTCTGGAATGAAATAATATCGTGAACCGGGGGTCCACTGTATTTTATATGTATGTATAATGGAGCCTCAGTTTTCGTATGCCCCAGCTTCCATGTAAAACCACAGTTATTCTCTATGAAATGTATTTTTTGTTAATATTTTTGGGTGTCTGGAATGAATTAATTGGATTTACATTATTTCTTATGGGAAATATTATCAAAAAATACATTTTATAGAGAATAACTGGGGCATACAAAAACCGAGGTTCCACTTATACTATGATAACTGTACATATGTGTACCTGTACCTAAATAAACTTACTGTACTGGCATGCAGGTACACATTAAAATCACTAAGTGTCCCTCTAGTCTTGATGTCATATTAATAATAATAATAATATGTAATAATAATAATCACTCTTGGGCATATTAAATGTCTTATTTTATGTTATTATAGACATTTTCATTAATTCTCCTGTGATATTTTCTTCAAAATTACATAAAAACACCTGTTACATAGCATATAAACATGATACATACACCCACAGTAATACAATAAATTTCACATAAATACGAGATGTAGCCAGGCAGAGGAAAAGAATTATGTTTTCTCTGGTCCAGCACCTTCTCCAGGTATACTCCAGGTATCCACTCCTTTTCCTAGCTACAGTATAGTGCTTTTGTGTTAGTAGATAATTGTAAGATGTATACAATAACTACTGTCAGACTTTGAAATGAGCTGAACTGGGATAAAATCTCTTAACCATTTACACACAGATTCCTTCATAACTCTTCTTTGTGTCATTGCTTTGTATGATTTTACTTGATTAAATAAAATTTTCAGTTAGCATTTTGAATTGCAAAGGTCATTGAAATCACTTAGTTATTTCTTTGTAACACTGCACACTTACTGGTATGTAGATCATTTGTTATGTGCTGGGACAGTAGTGTGTGATTGTAATTTCTTTCTACAGATGTTTGGATGAAGCTTGTTTGATCCCTACTGAATCCTACATAAGGCTGCCTTGGACTTTAAAAGACCAGCTTTTAAATAAATTAACCAGAAGAGGCAGGTGTAATGATTCCATTTTCTCGTGGCTCCTTCATTCTCGTGTGACTGAACTTGGTAAGAAAAAAATTATAATATAATTTGCATCTGGTTGATTGTTATGTATCCATGTCATTAGAGTATTCCACTTTTTGTGGTAGACTGCTAGAAATATATTCAATTTCCAGGAATAAATTTTTAGTCACATTCATGTGATTTAAATTGTGAAAAAATTATCTTAATAAGCCTGTGTGTTGCATGCTATGTACAGTGGACCCCCCATGAATTTGTGGTCCCAAATTTGTGGCTTCAGTAATTCGTGAATTTTTCTTTAGAACCTAACTAATAATTGTTTGCGGAAATCCCTGCATATTTTCGGAATTTTGGGGGCTTTTTTCGTGACAATATATAATTTTTTTGTGCAATTTAACGCTAAATATTAAGAAAAATATAATTTAATAATTTTGTAACATTAATATTAACGTAAATTCAGCAGTTCATACTGAACAGCTAATTCATCATCATCATCATCATCATCTTCAATTGGTTTCATTCTTTATTCATGAGTACCTGTACATTTAACTTTACTTTTGCTAAATTAAATTATTACCATATATTTACTGTACGTATACCAACGAAAATGGGGTTGCACGAATTACAGTACATATACCAAAGAAAATTGACTTGCATGAATTACAGTACATATGGGGGAAACATTGGTACAGTATTTTACATTCTAGCACTGCGGGAGACATAGCAGTACAGTATTGTAGAGTAGGGCCCTGCTTTTCAGCGTTTCGCCTTATGACGTTCCGCTAATACGGCGATCTCAAATTATAACCAAAACTTTCTATATGGCAAGTGATCTTTCAAATACGGCGTGGGCCACCCGGTTTGTTTACATTCTCCACGAGCACATCTCTCTATTATGTAATAATAATCACTCTTGGCTACATTAAATGTCTAATTTTATGTCAATATAGACATTTTCATTAATCCATCTATTATACTGTATTTTCTTCAAAATTATATAAGAAACACGTTACATAGCATATAAACATGCTGTTTATATACTATGGAGGTGTTGTTGCCGGGTGGAGGGAAAACATTACGTAATACAGTGGACCCTCGGCTAACGATATTAATCCATTCCTGAGAGCTCATCGTTAGACAAAATTATCGTTAGCCGAATTAATTTTCCCCTAAGAAATAATGGAAATCCAGTTAATCCATTCCAGACAGCCAAAAGTATTAAAAATATAATTTTTTTTTTCATGAAATATACATTTCCCTACAAAGAAAACAATGAGATGTGCAAAATAACTATATAAATAAATGTTAAAATGACACCTTTATTGAAGAGTATTGATGAGTGATGAGACACTGCTTTTCTTGAACACTGGGATTTTCAGAGTGATACATGAGTAAAGGCTTCACTTTGCAATCCTCACTAGCATTACAACAAAACAAGAAAATTAGCCTGTGTTTCATAGGCTTGTGTCCTGGGAGTGCCTTTTCCTTCTGAGTAATGTAGGTCCTGTTTGGCATTTTCTTCCAGAACAGGCCTGTTTCATCACAATCGAACACTTGTTGGGGTTGGAATTTTTCAGCTTCGCCATGCCTTATCACAGTGTGTGTGCCACTACGATTCTTAAATCTCTCAAACCAACCTTTGCTGGCCTTAAATTCACCAATATGAGCACTAGTTCCAGGGATTTTTTCCTGTTCACCTGGGTGTTAGTTGACTGGTGTGGGTCGCATCCTAGGGAACAAGATTAAGGACCCCAATGGAAATAAGTTACAGTCCTCGATGACTTACTGACTTTGTTGGGTTACCCTGGGTGGCTAACCCTCTGGGGTTAATTGTTTCTCATTAAGCCACATCAACAACAGTCTCTCCACATCTTCAAGTAGTACAGCTGACGGTGGTGCAGCAACAGCTGACGGTGGTGCAGCAGCAGCTGACCGTGGTACGATAGTATTTTGATAGTATTTCTCACCCTTTTTACCACAGGGTTGGCACTAGAAGCGTTGTGGCTTATTTAGCAGTTACAAGAACTATAAACAATGGAATAATACAAAATGTATCGAATGTATGCATGAAACCGGCCACCCTGGCTTGTAAACAATGATGGCAGGGCAGCTGAGGCGCTCAGGCTGGACGGACAGGTTCGGGATGAATCACATTGGGTGAGTTTTTTATCGTTAGCCAGGCCAAAATTTTTACGCTCAAACACTTCGTTGGGCTGATTTCACGTTATGCGATATGTTCGTTAGCCGAGGGTCCACTGTACTAATAATAATCACTCTTGGGCACATTAAATGTCTTATTTTACGTTAATATAGACATTTTCAATAATCCATCTATTATATTTTCTTCAAAATTATATAAGAAACACGTTACATAACATATAAACATTTTGTTTATATACTATGGAGGTGTGGTAGCCGGGCAGAGGGAAAACATTTTGTCACTCCCCTTAATACACAACGCTTTTGTTTACAATTCTCGGCATGAATTATTCATTACTTCTTCCTTTGTTTATGATAACATCTAAAGGTAGTTGTTAGAAATGATTAAACTCAGTGAACATGGTATGTTGATGGTAATATGGCTCTGGGCCACATTAAATATCATGTAGGTATGTAGCCCAGGCAGACTACATACCTATATTATTATTATAACTGATAATTATATGTATGTGTACCTGTACCTAAGTAAACTTGCACACTGTGCTGGCATGCAGGTACACATTAAAATCACTAAGAGTGTCTTATTAGTCTTGAAGATGCCATATTAATGATAACAATAATAATCACTCTAAGGAGCATTAAATATCATATAAAATGTTAATATAGACATTTTGCTTAATCCATCTAAATACACCCCACAGTAGAATAAATTAACATAATATGAAATGTGGTAGCCAGGTGACTTGTAGGACTTGTGGTAGCCAGGCGACTTGTAGGACTTGTGGTAGCCAGGCGGCTTGTAGGACTTGTGGTAGCCAGGCGGCTTGTAGGACTTGTGGTAGCCAGGCAACTTGTAGGACTTGTGGTAGCCAGGCAACTTGTAGGACTTGTGGTAGCCAGGCAACTTGTAGGACTTGTGGTAGCCAGGCAACTTGTAGGACTTGTGGTAGCCAGGCAACTTGTAGGACTTGTGGTAGCCAGGCAACTTGTAGGACTTGTGGTAGCCAGGCAACTTGTAGGACTTGTGGTAGCCAGGCAACTTGTAGGACTTGTGACGAAAACCAGACACATTCATCTGGTTTGTTTACATTGTGTGAGTGGGGTGGGAAGGGCTGCCCTTCCTGGCTAACCATACTTTCCAACCTGACTTCATACAAATAAAACTCACCTCTCACCCTACATTAAGACTACAAATATTTTAAGGTAATTAATGAGTGTACTATATATGCATTTTATCGCTCTAGGGATCTTAATGTCATAATAGGTGGGAGTGGCCAGGCAGGATGCCATGCTTCCCACACGACTTTCTACAGATACGTAAATACTTATAACCACTCACCCTACATTAAGACCATTAAGATTATAAATATTTTAAGGTAAGTACAGCGTCTACTGTATATGCATTTTATTGCTCTAGGAAGCTTTAAGCATCGTAGTATAGTATGTGTGAGTGGGGTGGCCAGGAGGGCTACCACACCTGACTTCTTAGAGTAAATACTACTCACCTTTTGCCCTACATTAAGACTACAAATATTTTGAGGTAAATAATGAGTGTACTGTGTGTGCATTTTACTTTTTAATGCCTAGTTGTATTACTAACTTAATATATGTTAGTGTAAACTTGTTATCTGGCATATATATGCATTTTTAAATGGAAAAAATGGAGTTCTGCTTTCCGGCGAAGTCTGCTTTCCGGCAGTAGCCTGGAACCTAAACTGCCGAATAAGTTGGGCCCTACTGTATACGGGTTTATCTTTACATTTTTTTTTTTAAGGGTGATGTATGAAGCTGAATTTGAAATAAAATTTAAGTGTTTTGGGGGCATATTTAGGGTTTAAACTATAAAAATAGGCATTTATAGGCATTTTTTTAACCGTGTCCAAAATTCGCGATTTTTCCAACCGGGCAACAACGAATCATGGTACGTGATGAGGTGACACAGTGGGCGCCTGTGACGAGTGGGGTCCCACAGGGGTCAGTCCTAGGACCTGCGCTATTTTTGGTATATGGTATATGTGAATGACATGATGGAAGGGATAGACTCTGAAGTGTCCCTGTTTGCAGATGATGTGAAGTTAATGAGAATTAAATCAGATGAGGATCAGGCAGGACTACAAAGAGACCTGGACAGGCTGGACACGTGGTCCAGCAACTGACTTCTCGAATTCGACCCCGCCAAATGCAAAGTCATGAAGATTGGGGAAGGGCAAAGAAGACCGGAGACAGAGTGTAGGCTAGGTGGACAAAAACTGCAAACCTCACTCAAGGAGAAAGATCTAGGGGTGACCATAACACCGAGCATGTCTCTTGAGGCACACATGAACCAGATAACTGCTGCAGCATATGGGCGCCTGGCAAACCTGAGAATAGCATTCCGATACCTTAGTAAGGAATCGTTCAAGACACTGTACGCTGTGTATGTCAGGCCCATACTGGAGTATGCAGCACCAGTTTAGAGCCCACACCTGGTCAAGCATGTCAAGAAATTAGAGAAAGTACAAAGGTTTGCAACAAGGCTAGTTCTAAAGCTCAGGGGAATGTTCCACGAAGAAAGGTTGAGGGAAATCAGCCTGACGACTCTGGAGGACAGGAGGGTTGGGGAGATATGATATTGACATACAAAATACTGCTTGGAATAGATAAGGTGGACAGAGACAGGATGTACCAGAGAGGGGACACAGAAACAAGGGGTCACAATTGGAAGCTGAAGACTCAGACGAGTCACAGGGATGTTAGGAAGTACATGTATTTCTTCAGTCATAGAGTCGTCAGGAAGTGGAATAGCCTAGCAAGTGATGTAGTGGAGGCAGGAACCATACATAGCTTTAAGATGATGTATGATAAATCTCAGGGAGCAGAGACTGAGAGAGAGACTGAGAGAGAGA